TATCCTTCTACCTCTGTAGGTCAGAAACAAAGTATCATTCTGCCTCTATAGTAAATTGTCCCTCTGATTCTGGACGCAGACACGCCTTGAAAAGCATCCTTTCCTCTTTTACCTGACACCAGGTATACATTTGAACTAAGCAGAAGGACCCAAGTTCCAGAAGTGTTCCTCAGCAAAGTGCTGGAGACAGCCCTGAAAACCCTTAGAGAGTGCTGCGACACTCAGGATTCGGTCACCTGTTTCAGCACTCAGGTATGCCTAGCTAAGTTTCTTTATCAGTAACATAGGCTAAATTGGTAGAATGAAGATTATGGATCAAGCCTGCTCAACTGCCTACTTATTTATGTCCTGTAAGTTAACAAGAAAAATATGGTTTGTGGTATTTGTGTGCTTACAAGATTCTTACTTCATGATGTAGAAATTAAGTATAATTCAAATTCCAGTGGCCAGGAGTCATACTGAAACATTACTATGCACTTTGATTTTTCTGTTGTACTGTGCAGAATAGGGTATATGTAATAGAGATCATATGTGACCGACAAAGGTTAAAATATTTATTAACTGGATTTATGCAAAAAAGAAAAAAAGTGTTTGCTGATACCTTGCATAGGGACATAGAATTCTGACCTAAAAGTGTCATGTGACAGTATTTCACACAAGGAATGTTGATGCATAATATTTTTTTTTAGAGTCCCCTGCTGCAGAAGCAAATAACATCTTTCATTGAAAAAGGTCAAGAACTGTGTGCAGATTATTCTGAGAACACATTTACTGAGTACAAGAAAGTGTAAGTGGTTGGTTTTGTGACTTATCCTCCAAATGTGCTTGTTGTACTTGTTTAGTTCTGTGGCTGAAAAGTACAAGTGAAAATTTAGGAGATACTGAGCGAAAAATAAAGAAGGGTTGAATTTTTTAAAAGTTTTAAAAGGTGATCATAACTGTTTACTGGGGTACAGTGTAGGGATAATCTCTCATGCACCATGTAGAAGCATTCACGTGTCAATAAAAAGCTGATGGCTACTGAGCTGAGGCAGGATTAGAAGGTGGGACATCCAGTAGGAAGAAGAAAGGGATTCTGGGATAGAGAGGCAGGAAGATTGATCCTGAAATTCTTGTAAGAAGATAGACATGAAACTTAAAGAGCGGTAACTTGCCATGTGGCAGAATTTGGAATAGAGTAACAGGATGACTAAGTTGGAAGCTAGTCAGGGAACAATCCAAAACAGGCATTTATTCATATCTAAGAAATCTCAGAGTCATTATTCCAGGGAACTTGGTGTGGGTGAAAAACCCAGTGTTACAGTACAGGATGTGTCATTAGGTGAGCAGCCAATCAGAACACAGCCACAGAATGTAAATTATAATTGATCTATGAGGACTTGATTTCAAAATGGCAACATGAGGACATAGTTGGTCAGTTTTTATACCCCTGGAGTTACCTGTTGATTGTTCTCTGACAAGACCTAAGGTTTCATGGTGGTCTGATATCATCTATCACCAGCATGTGTTACTTACAAACTGGAAATAAAGACACTCATCAACAATAACATGGTAGAACAGCTATTTTTCTCAACTAAGGAGGCAGCATTAAACTGGTAGTAGAAATTAACAATAAAATAATTGGCCACCAAAATGTGAAACATGGTGCTAGGTTCTTGGAAGAAAAAAAATCTCAAAAAAATATTATGCTGTTTTTCAATTTTGCTTAATAAATTTCCATTTTTAAATCAGTTGGAATATAGGACTCAAGTGAACACACATTTGCACAAAAAGATCTTCTTAAAGAACCCTAGAGTAGGACGTCTCCTCAGTGATCCCTATGAAAGCTTTCTAAGTATGTGAAAGTCTCATGCATGGAAGTGTTTGTCCTCCTAAGCTCTTATTGCTACTGGCCTGGGAGCATATTTCTTGGAGAAAGTAATAAATCAAGCTTAGTGGACCACTATGAAGGTGAAGTAGAACTAAGATCATAAACAGTTCGGAAAACAGCGGGGGAAACAAGGGCCAAACGACTCTGCCTCCTGTTCAGTGCACCCGAGTAGTGAATTCTAAGGTTGGCAAACTGAGGCAAAGAAAGGAGAAAGCACAATACTGAAATCCAGTCCAGTGAAGAACATATTTTAAAAGGAGCTTGAAATTGAATGTTTGAGAAAGGTGAAAAGCCCAGGAAGACATACAAGAGCAACAGGTGGGTGGAAACGCTGAGCTACCAAAAGAGGAAGAACTGTCTTTCAAACTCGGTGATAACTTCTGTTTGCTTGCCTGACTTTGAATGGGGCATAGATTTCAATTCTAACCCCAGCATGGCTCACTCAAACTCCATTCTACAAATAGGGCTTCCAAAGACAGACCAGTGTTCCTATTTTTATGTACATGATCTGAAATAGCTGTCATTTTGCTTAAACAATGTCCCTACAGTAACTCTAGCTTAACCTACAGATATTTTTTTTTTTCAGATTGGCAGAACGAATGAGGACAAAAATGCCCAACGCCTCTCCGGCAGAGCTAGAAGACACGGTGGACAAGCACTCAGACTTGGCCTCCAAGTGCTGCTCCATAAACTCACCTCCTTTCTACTGCAACTCACAGGTAGGAAAGCCTTGCCTCCTCGGCTCAGAGCTAGAGTATTCCAGAATTCCAGTGCTTCGTCTCTGTTCCGAATGAGCCTGAAGTGTCTCATGTGACAGGCTTTCCTGAGGGTTAGTGGCCTTGCTGGTTGTCTCAGCAAAGAAAAAGTAAGAAAATCAGTTTCCAGGTTATATTCTCTGAGAAGCAAAGAGAGGTGTCTGTAAAACATATGAAGTGTTACAAGCTATAAGAAACGAGGTTTGTCTTTGTCGGGTGGGTGTGGGTTCTTCAGTTGCTGTTGTGCACTCTGCGGCCCCGGCCAAGTGTGGTGGGTGTAGGGTGCTTCGTTGAGAACTGTTATGCAGGTCAGGAGGAGTTACAAAAGGTCAGATGGACTAGAAGAAAAGGCTGAGAGGAATCACCAGAAAGAACAAGGGAGATTCTGGGTCAGCATACAGATGTTTAGTCCCAGGAGGGATGGTTAAGGGCTGGGAAGGTCACCATGCTCAGGAGTATTTGGCCAACACAAAGAAACGTCATGTTTTCTGATGTGCTTTTGCTTTGGTATTTTTCTCTCTTGTTTATTCTTTTTAGTTTGGGTTTTTTTTTTTTGAGAGGGAGAAAGAGAAAAGAGGGATGGAGAGAGGAAGGGAGAGAGGGAGGAAGGGAGAGAGAGAGGAAGAGAGAGTATAACATCATACCATGAAATGAAATTGGCTGTGTGGAGACACAGGGAAGGTGGGAGGAGTTGGAGATGAGGAAACAATATAGTCAAATATATGAAAAATTAATACAATTGTTTTAAAAAGGAGAGAGAACGTTTGTAACTGCAGGGAACATGAGGAGCACAGGAGATAAGAAAAACATGCAAGTGTCAGAGGCCACCTAACATGGTGCTCATATCACTTTAGGTGAATTTATGTCAAACGTGTGTGTATTTGTGTGTATGTGTGTGTGTGTGTGTGTGTGCAAGTGTGTGTCTGTGGATAGCACATATACATGCTTACAGAAGGTAGACTGATAAAGGGAAACACTTATAGAGAAATGGGATCACCAATATTTTATATTTTTACTGTAAAAGGCTACACTTAATTTGTTTTAGTATAACAATAAAATGGCCACATAAGTGTTTACTCGCCATAAGAATTATTTTATAAAAGGAGTTTTAATGTTAAAATATGTTAAAATGATAATTATTGTTAAATGTGACCATTTCTTCTAAGCACTATCAATTGGCTCTCATTCTTTCTCTGTCCCTTCCTCCTCTCTTTTTTCTTGAAACACATCTATCACCACAACTTCTGCAACATTACTTTTCAGCTTTGTACAAGAGATGACCTTGTTCATAGTGTTTCCTTGTCCACTGCTACTAAGGTGTCTCGGTTGTCTCCTATAGGCTGCTGTGGGAATTATGCTGTGTTTCTCTCTCTCTCTCTCTCTCTCTCTCTCTCTATCTCTATCTCTATCTCTATCTCTATCTCTATCTCTCTCTCTCTCTCCCTTCTTCACCCTCCCTCCCTCCCTCCCTCTCTCCCTCCCTCCCTCCCTCCACTGAGATGTGGGAGACGGGAGCCCAGTTGTGTCACCTCACTGATGTTAGACCTGAGCTACACTGACTTCCAAGATATTGAGAGATTATATCCGTATCTCAGTCATCAAATCATTACTTGCCACACTCCACCAGATGTGTGTTGGTCATTGTCAGAACACAGGAATCCCATTTGTTTAATTTCCCATCGTACCTATTATCCTCCAATAGCCATTTAACTTTTGTGGAAGACACTAAAAGTCAGAGCAACACTGCATTTTGCTTTGACCTTAATTGAAGATATGATGGTTCTGAGACCTTTGTTGTTGTCTAGTCCATTTCTGGACCTTGGGGAGAATAATTCAGAAAAACACATCTGCTTCATGGAGTCAGAAAACTGGTGCTATTGATAAACTTGTTCACCAAAATCTAGCAAACAGAGATATCTGCCAATAGCCAACTGGGAGCTAGGCTGACAGACTTCAGTGGTGGATGCTCTCCTGCTCTCCCAGTGTACATACTTTAGGTCAATGCGTTTCTATGTTAAGATTTTATAATATGTTAAACAGAGTATCAAAATCTCTCTATGGAAATATTTATAGAATAATCTGAAACAACTTTTTACATTAAAATACATATTAGAAATGGATTAAATGAAGCAGACCACATATGGATCTGGAAACCAATAGTTTGTTTGGTGTTTTGTTTTGCTTTGCTTTGCTTTGCTTTGCTTTGCTTTGCTTTGCTTTGTCTTGTTTTGTTTTAAATTAGATTCCTGCTTCTTTTCTTCAGGCTATTATCAGAGATTCCAGCTCTAATTTTGCTAGTCATGGCAAAAGCCCAGTGCTGATACCAAAAAAAAAAGAAAAAAATTACTGACTAAAAAATCCAAACTTACTAAAATATTATTAACAAAGACTACCAGCAGTTGGTAGTACTTACTTTAAATTCCATCTATCTCCTTTCCTTGAATAAGATCCCTATTTCCTTTTTGCTGAATCTGTCCAACTTATATAAAAGTTGTTTTTCCTTATATCTAAACTAATAAATATGATAATTTAAACTCTTATTTAGAATTTTCTTTCTCCCCTTTTCTACTATTTTCTTGGCTTAGCAGTGTGTCCTCTGAATCCCTATGCCTTCTCTGAATTACTCAACTCTTGTGTCAGGACTACTGGTGTGACTGTGTTGGTAGTGGTGTGGTGTCACCAGAAGCCAGACTGCACCACTGCCAAGCCAGTCATGCCAAAGGTCCTTCCAAGCCAGTCATATTAATGGTCATTCCTGCTAAACCTGACAAACATCTTTCAGTCCCCTCAGCCTCCTCTGTGAAACATGTGGTACCCACAACTATCCCCCCTTCTTTGAAATGATGTAGTGTATTGTGTATGTGTGTGTGTACATGCGTGTGTGTGTGTGTATGTTCATGTGTATATATGTGCTCTGGTGTCCATGTGGACATATGTGAATTTTGATTAGGCTAGGCTGGATGGTTAACAAATTTCAGGAATTCGCCCATTCCACCTCTCCAGTGCTGGGAGTTAAAGTGCACCCCCGCACCCAGCTTCATATGCAGGTTCTGGGAATTAAACTCAAGTCCTTGTGCTTGAGGCCAGCACTTTCCTTCCTCAGCTATCTGCCCAGCCCCTTAACATACTTTCTATGACACCCATGTTAGCATTTTCTTCTGTTACTCTATGATCTTCCTTTCTTTGTTCTATGTCATATCTTCATCATCTTCTACACACTCCTTAAATTTCTATTTTGCACAGTTTGTCATTTATGAGCAAATCCATGAGACAACGTTTTCCTGAGAGTTCTCCTCTACATGAATGACATTAATGTCTAATTATCCACTTCTAGCCAATACCTTGCCCCTCTGCAGCAAGCTCTCTACACAACTGTTTGTGATGATCTCTTCTGTTAGCATGATTGCTTATACCACAATAAACAAACACACAGCAAGACCAGAATCCCTTCACCTAAAACCTTCTGTTTCATATACTCGTGATTTATATCAGCACTGTTTATCCATTGCTTCCAAATAGAAACTTAGTTATGCTTAATTTCTCTTCTTCTAAACATTTCAAATCAAATTCCAAGCCCTGCCAAGTCTGCCTTCAAAATATTTGTCAATCCCTGTCTTATATTTTACAACATTCATGAGTCTAGTTTCCTGTACTCTGTCCCTGGCTTGGATCTTTCCAACTGACTTCTCAACTCCAGTCTGACTCAATTGCCTTGCCCTGAATCCCAGCTCTACACTGAGGTTACAGTGACCTCCAGAAAAACACAAGATGGTTAATACATTCCTCCAGTGGCTCTTCACTGTTTTCATATCAAACTCTGATATTATTTTCTGTTATTTTTTCAATCAAGGGTATTGATCCCTGATTTCCTCTCCAAGCTGACCTCCTATGACTGTTCTGTGCCTACTTTTATATTCTCCTGGACTGCTCTCAATCTTCCAAACACTAAACTTGCTCTTCTGCCCACTCCATTGTGTGCAGATGACTAACCCAACTCTTATTTCGTTCACCAGCCTTTAAGGTTCAGCATAGAATAAGCTCCTCTAGGACTCTTTGTGCACAAAGCAAGTACCTCTGCTATCTGTTCTGTGCATTTGCTAATTAGCACTTATTAGATTCTACTGATCTCATCAGACTGCAAACTATGGAGGAACAGCACAAGGCTAAACAAATACAAAACATACCTAATGAAAATTATAATGAAAATTATAATGAAAACTCATGTTTGGGAAAGAATCTTATTATCTGACAAGGTTCAAAGTTCAGTGCACTCTCTGCATGACCCAGGAGCCTCTGAGTAAAATGCTTCATAAACTGTAAAGTATTCTGTTTTATCAACAGATTGATGCAGAAATGAGAGACACCCTGCAGTCCTGATGCAGGGCACGTGTACTGTCTTGGGTGAGTACAGTTAAAAAAAAGAGTCTAGAACTGTATCACATGTTTTGGAAATCACAGAAAAGGATGCAAACTTTACCCCACTTATCTATCATGCTATCCATTCCAATTCATGTGCAGTTGACCATTTGAAACCTTGAAGAAGTCTTATGTGCTCACAGAGTACACAGATTCTGACATGTTTCAGGCTGATTTCAGATTCTCATTCTCCGGTCCCCAGCCTAGTACTACATCCATCATAATGGCATTATACCGGATAATGACACCATAAATGTCATAGGAGGGATCCTGGTGCACATCAAAAGAAAAAGCTGTTTAAAGATGGGACCATCGAGCACTAAAATTCCCAGCAGAGTTCTTCAGTTCCAGCACCATGTGTTTCCTTTGGATGTTATGCTTCCAATCACTTAAAAGTAACCAATGAGGAGACTGGAGAGATGGCTCAGAGGTTAAGAGCACTGATTACTCTCCCAGAGGTCCTGAGTTCAATTCCCGACAACCACATGGTGACTCACAACCATCTATAATGGGATCTGATGCTCTCTTCTGAAATACATAAAAAATAGACAAATAAACCTATTTTTTGAAAAGTGACCAATAAAGATATTTAGACTCCAAAACTTTAGCTGGACATAACCTGAGCATTAAATGGAAAGTGATCTCAACTCTATACATTTCAACAATTTTTTGCTTATTTGTTTGTTTGTTTGTTTGTTTTTCAAGACAAGGTTTCTCATTGTAGCCCTGACTGTCCTAGAACTCAGTCTCTAGACCAGGCTGGCCTCGAACTCAGAGATCTGCCTGCCTCTGCCTCCTAAGTGCTTGGGATTAAAGTTGTGTGCCACTATACCTAGCAAAAAGTTGTTTGAATTGTTGTTTTAAATTCAATTTTGTTTACTAAAAACTATTACAGCTAAGTTTTTAAAATTTAGTAAACAATAATTTCAATTAGTGTTAGTTGGACTCTTTATGGAGTTGGTAAAACAAACAAACAAAAAGCAAAACCTCAATTCTAAAACCATCTAATTTAAATTAAACCCCCCACTATGGTTATCTGTCTTTGTCAGCTTGAACCCATTGTTCTGTATTACCCATAGCTTATATTCTCTTCTTTATAAGTGAAATGTCAGTATCTATTTCAGTGTTAGTGTCTATTAAAGCATAATTAGGTAAACATTAGCAGGAACCCAGACTAAGAACTCTTTTTTGTACTAGTATCTATCTCCTCAAGAACAAAAATACATGATGTCATAAATCAAAGGAAATTCTCTGTCTTCTGAAGACTAGAACTCAAAATATGAATTATTCATGGTGTGTATGTTAAAGAGTAGAAAAGTATCTTGACCGTTGGTGATACATTTTCTATGCCCCCAGTTAAGGGAATTCAGTTCATCCCCATCACAATCTGTACAAAAGAATCTCCATAGATAGAAAATCCAACTACATTATGGCTGCTTCACAAGCCACCCTTCAAGGCACATGAAGCTTTAATTAAGAATTGGGGATATTTAGAAAGCCTTATGATCAATTTAGCTTGAATTTCTTCTCTTCTCATCAAGCTCGCTCTCTCTCTCTCTCTCTCTCTCTCTCTCTCTCTCTCTCTCTCTCTC